CAATAGATGAGGTGACGGTTTTGTCCGCCATTTTGGACCGGTAGGCATAGTGTCGCAAAATAACAAGGAATGACCGGGAAATCGATGTCAAATAATTCTCGCTGAATTCAAATTCAGAAAGAATTATCAATTGCAAACGTTAGATACTACAAAAAGGAGCTGACTGGCCAAATTTGAAGGATGTGCTTCGTCTAGGGAGCGAGAAAATTTATTTTTAGTTCTCAATACATTTCTTTGTATTTTTCACGCGCGTCACGCACTGATGACCCCGGAAATTATAACGAAATGTATTGAAATTACAAAGAAATGTATGGAGAACTAAAAATGAGTTTACTCGCTCTCTAGATCAAGTACGCCTTTCAAATTTGGCCAGTTAACTCCTTGTTGCAGTATCTAACGTTTGCAAATGATAATTCTTTCTGAATTTGAATTCAGCGAGAATTATTTGACATCGATTTCCCGGTCATTCCTTGTTATTTTGCGACACTATGCCTACCCGTCCAAAATGGCGGACAAAACCGTCACCTCATCTATTATTCAAATTAGGTCAGTTTTGTTTTTGCCGCTTTAGAGCATCAAAATGACAAAAAAGAAGAAGGTTTAGCACACAACTTAGTTTAGGAACAGTATTGACACCTTTTAAAAACACAAATGTGTGAAAACATGTGTGGTTATGCATGGATAATAAAATCTGCAGGATACAGCACAGGTAGCCCAAACTTATTATCAGAGGACGATGACGTAATGTGTTGAACCGTTGATAATTTTTGAATTTTTAATTAGTTTCAAGGTAGGTTCGTAATAAAGCCTTCCAAAACCACTGAAAACTGTAAATAATTATCAGAAATCTCTCAAAAAGTTAGAATGATCATTAAATAACACGTTGGTTTAGTAATATTAACATAAAAGCGTCTCTGGAGTGATTTTGAGTTTGGGCTACCTGTGGATACAGTAGATCACACCGACCGAGACGAAAGAAACGGGTCAAAAAGTTATTTAAGTTTATAGTCAGATCGTAATAGGGATTCAAATTCATATTTAGTAAGTTTTGTGAAAATCGGATTTAATTTATGCGAAGCCTGATTCTGGCTTCCGGTGGTGGACATTTGTCGAGCCTGCGTTACTTTTCGTCGACAAAAGTTTTCCCTTGAGCTTGCGCAGTAAGAGGGAGAGGTGGTCTACGCCTTGAAAGCTCTTGTGGCGATGCGAAGAAAACACTGAATTATATTGATTAGAAATGGATTATCTGAAGGAATTTCTTCTCCCCAAACAATTCAGCGTGTATGGATACATCGTTGCTGTATTCAATGTATTGGCTGGAGTCATTGTTACCTTTATAACGGGTATTAAATGGACTGAAAGACGACAATTTCAATGCAACAGACAAGGTATTCGAGCTGACATGGACTTCTTGACGACGAAGTGTTTTAATCAGTACAGTCAAGAATACAGTTCTTCTCTACCGCTGTTTGGATTTGCATTTATGAGCTTTGGTAGTTTAGTTGTTGTTTGTATTATTTATTCTTGGTGTTGTGTGAAATCTCGAGTTGAACACATCGAACAAGAATGTACACGTAATGAAGAAAGCCCTCGACCTGTAGCTCCTTGGACTCGCCATATTTTCTTGTTATATTTTTTGCATTTAGTAGTACGCTGTGTGATTGGAGCTACCTTTGCATTGTTACTATCAACAGGAGTTTTTCCTTCCCATTTTCCGGCGCAATATGTGTGTGAATGGAATACAAAAGGAACGAAAATTGCAGACTCAAATGCAACACATTTTAAGTCATCGTTAGTTTTGTGCCAGAACAAAGTTGCCAAAGAGACAATTTATTGGACAAATTTAATTTGGATTATGCATATAGTATTAGCATGTCTTGTGCTATTAGAAGTGTGTTATCTTCTGGCAAGAGCTACTTGTGACAGGCACTTTATGAGAGACCATGAATTCTGGCAAAGATATCTTTTACGAAATATAAGATTTCCTTTATTGCAAGAGCACAACAGTCTGTTACGATCTCAAATATTGCTGCAGACAGAGTATCTTGAACCACTAATACCCTTAATTCCATCTGAAGATGACAATCGTAGAGCGATAGATGATGTTTATGTTGATCTTGCTATACATCCTAGTTGGGTCATGCATGACTTCGACATGAGTAAGAACAGACATGAACTCTTAGACATCCATCTCAACAGACCTAAAACTTCAATTCCAATAAATGACTTAAATGAGCTTTTCTCTTCAGAAAGCCGATCCCATGACAACATCCTTGTGATTGGTCGTCCTGGTATTGGGAAGACATCATTGTGCTCCAAAATAATTCGTGAATGGTGTAAAGGAAAATTGAATCAATTCAAGCTTGTTTTTCTCTTTAGGTTTAGGCATTTGAGTTCTCAAAGATTCAACAAACTGTCATTTATGAAATTTCTCAAGGAAGCAGAATACTCCATGAATGTAGACTCAGCTATTTTACAAAATATTCAAGACAGTCGTCAATCAATTTTGTTGATCTTTGATGGCTTAGATGAATTCAAGCATCGTGAACACCTTATTAAAGACCAGTCAGAATTTAGCAGTTTGAATGGTTTGAAAGATGAAATGCCCATAAGTGTTCTTTATTCAAAACTTTTGCAAAAGAAGCTATTTCCTGGAGCCACAATCTTGACAACCTTGCGGCCAAATGCTGTGGACTCGCTGAAAATGTTAATGGTATATTTTGATAGAATTGTTGAAATTTTGGGTTTTGCTCCAAACAATGTTAAATCATTTGTTCACAAATTTTGTAATAATGCACTCACAGCAAGCAAGATTTGGCTGCACATAGAATGCAATTTGAACCTATTGTATCTGTGTTACATTCCAGTCAATTGCTGGATAGTCTGTTCCTTGTTACATGATTTCATCAAAAAACATAGTAGTAGTTTGGATAGCTTAGTGCTACCCACCACTCTAACTGACATCTACAAAGGAGCATTGCGGCTGTTTTTGTTCAAGCATTCTCCTGAATTTCATCAAGAAATGTCTATCAGCGACTATACCAATGATACAATTTCAAGCAAATTTGAGCAAGTTCTCTCAAGACTAGGAAAACTAGCGAGAAAAGGACTTGAAGAGAAACGATTGGTTTTTGAGAGAGAAGAGGTTCAAGGATTAGAAAACTGCGGTTTTCTCAACTGCATGCCAAGTAAAGAAAATCCAGAGTTTGTATTTCCTCGAGCATCACAATATTGCTTTATTCATTTGACACTTCAAGAGTTTCTTGCTGCGAGAGAAATAACACAGGCAGTTGACATTGATAAAATTGTTCAATTGATTAACAATAAAGCAGAAGATTACAACTGGCATCTTGTAATACAATTTATAGCAGGATTGTTACAAAAACATGCTTTTAAAGTTTCTAAGTATTTTGAAGACATGCTTTGCAAGTCTTTGATCAGGAGAACTGATAGACATATAGTTTTACTCATACTTAGATGTTTTTATGAGCTAAACAATGAAGAAGCTGTCATGAAAGCTGCATCAAAACTGGAAGATTTTACTCCTGGTGAAATAGATTTGTCTCAAAGTGATGTGACACCACCTGATTGTACAGCTATTATGTTTGTTTTAAGGCACTGTGGGACTAGTCTGAACTCACTGAAGATATCTGACAACAAGTTTGGCGATAGTGGTTGCTCAGAGCTTGTCAAGATTTTCATAATGCATGGTGCATTTGAATGTCATCTCACCCAGTTGGACTTTTCAGGTAACGAAATAACTGATCGAGGTATGTTGCATTTGAGTGATGCACTCAAAAGTGAGAACTGTCATCTCACCAAGTTGGGCTTGAACAGGAATCATATAAGTGATCAAGGTGTGTTACACCTGAGTGATGCACTCCAAAGTGAAAACTGTCATCTTGGCCATTTGGAATTGTCCTCAAATGAAATAACTGACCAAAGTGTGTTATATCTCAGTGCTGCACTCAAAAGTGAAAACTGTCATCTTGGCCATCTGGAATTGTCCTTGAATGAAATAACTGATCAAGGTGTATTATACCTAAGTGATGCACTCAAAAGTGAAAACTGTCATCTCACCCGGTTGGGCTTGCACAGGAATCATATAACTGATCAAGGTGTATTACACCTGAGTGATGCACTCAAAAGTGAAAACTGTTATCCATTGGAGCTTGTTCGGTAATGAAATAACTGTGAAAATGAACTGAGTAGCAAGATTGGACTCTTATTGCGACCATCAGTATAGTAGCTACAGAAAATAAAACATAACACATCAAGGTGTGTTACACCTGAGTGATGCAGTCAAAAGTAAAAATTGTCATCTTAAAGTAGTTGTGAATCAAATAACTGATCAAGGTGTATTACACCTGAGTGATAAAGAAAAGTGTT